CGGACCCGGGGTGACGTTTCCATAAAGAGCGTCAGGTCTTCTGCCTGCCCCTCCCTGCGAGGAAATAAATAGCAACACACAGGCCTCGACTCTACTACCACAACTAGCAATAGGAGAGCTCAACAAAACATGCGCCTACTGAAGCTACATTTTTCTTGCCGTCAACCTGAATTAATCTCGGCCATGAACGTTTAATTTTTTCTCAAATTTGTGTGAAATATACTGAATCCTGTATCAAGACTTTGGTTTTTTCAACTCAGCGTGCAACATAACATATATACCACTTTGCAATGGTATAATGCAAATGCCCTATGCTCCACTTGACAACTTGGAAGGCATATAAAGTAGCTTTCTACACTCAAAAGTCCTCCAAAGGGGAAATATCAACGTTGTAACGGAATTTCCTTCTCATGGCAGTTTGATTGAATGACCCACTTTATTCCTTTGAACTTTGCAGCGACGCAGCTAAAGCAAGATGCAGCACTCCAGTTTCACAAGGCAGACGCACAGCGTTATTCATTCAGGAAATCTTCAAACGTAGTTTTCTAAATTTACGGACAAGCTTTCCTTGCTATTATTTTCATTTTCTTTTATTTTCTTAGAGACTGAATAGTTGAGTTTAATAAAACAAGGATTATGGTAACTACAGTACATGATTTTCATCACATAATAAAAATATCGTTCAACTGAATTACAAAAAAATAATTTAAAATTAAATTCAACGTTTTACAGAAACACACGCACCTCTAAGGCGTGGCCTTCCCAAAGATCTTTGCTCCTGAAAAACACAAATTAATTCCCATTTCGCATCGTTTTATATCGCGGATTTTATTGCAAAAATATATATTTAGGAATTTTATTGTCCGTTTCATTTTTTTAAATGTAAATCATATTTGTTTCTGTAAATGCTTTGACCTACATGGGATCTACCGGAGAGAGTTAAATAATTAAAAATAAAATTCAGTACCAAAACACAATAGTAACATCAATAGTAATATCAAATAACAATAATGGCAAACGTTATTTACTCTTCAGAAGGTACCTTCTTTGTATGTTATAGCTAATGGGGAAGATTCAATTCGATATTATTTCTGGAGCTTGTGGAGAAATATCACCTACACATTGCAACTGTGCTTCTTCTTAGGTTTGTTTTGTGTCTCTCATACCCAACAAATTTTAACAAATTAGGCGCCAGAAGAATAAAAGTTTCATGCAAAGCTGACAAATAGAACTTTTACTTTATAATCATTATCATTTTTGAACCAAAAAATGCATTTAACTTACGCTGGCACCAATGCAATCTCACAATCACACAACACATACATCACACACTAATATGACGCAAGCACGTGCACGCAAAGGTTTGCCTCAATGTTATGTACATGAATCTATATATACAACGTGCTCAATCACAAACATTGCTGTTCCATAAAGCAACACGAGAATAAGAAATAATTAGTTGCGTGGGGCCTCTTCCAAGCCTTGACGCCACATGACATCAACTGTGCCACAAACAGTAACGCGCCGAGAATGAAAATTCAGTCGGTACGCGCTGTATGAGAAAAGGTGGAATTAACTGAGGCAAAATCGAAACTGTTTCATTGTGTTTATATTTTGGACGCAGGCTGAAGTGTATTTTTTTCAATTTTCACGCGCATTGGATATTAGTAATATTGATAGGCCATGGAAGTAAATCCAGGCGTCTGGATTTAACTTAGTATAGGAAATCATTACTTATACTCCTATAAAATGTACTGAAAAACACTTACCTAGAAGTTCATTGGTCTACACTCGCAACGCTCGTCTTTCTATCTCCCTTCTTCTTGATTTTCTCGTTATTCATACACTTCATCGTTACCCGTATCGTGGTCATTCAAAGGCATCGTTATCACCATCAATACGACTAGCAAATTTGTTTGTCTATTGCTTAACAGTATCATCGATCGTGGGATACATCACACTTCAAGATCAAAGTGTTCGCTGTTCGAAGGACATTTCTGCAAGTGGTCAAGTGGAGTCTGCGAGAACGATACGAACCTTCAGCGGCCCTCTCAAGCGAAGTTGCAAGTGGCTTCGCCGCCCCAATAGCGGGTGTTGTTTGGAAAGGGATAACAAGGTAATATAAACTAACAAAAAAGCACCGGCAACGTGCCAGAAGAGAAAACCGCAAGCTTTAGTCCCCGGTAGGTCTCGAAAGCCGCATGTCACTAGTGGAGGGATGTATTCGAAATAAAAAAAAGTCTCTAGGTTTCTGATGACGTCCCCTTGTTTACTGTGGATAATATGGTAACCCGGACCCCCCTCTGACAGTGCCCGCTGGGCACGACGCGGAAGAATTTAACGAGCTGACGCCGCTCTAACGCGCTCGCTGACGGTGCCCGTCCCCCTCCCCCACTTTCCCACCCCCACCCACGTGGCGTCGCGCAAACGGATCTGCTCGCCCCAAGTGGATCCTAGCGGCGCGCTCTCCAGCGCTGACTCCATTCCCAACTGGGGGTTCTTTAGGGTTCCGGGCGCGACAACGGCTATGGCCATTAGTCCCGAAAGTGTAGTGCACGCTTTATATCACGGGACGTGCCATTAATTTTTCCTGCTGGCTGGCGAGATCCGCCACCGATCTACGTCCACTTGCGAGAATTTTCCACAACCTCGTATCTCTCTCCAGCGGAGCACCGCCCCTGCCGGGACAAGCTGTAAACTGCCAACTTTGTCTCCCGGTATGTGTGCTAGTGTAGCGCATGTGTGTGTATGCAAGGGGTGATGAGAGAATAAGGAACAGGATATAAAGACAGCGCGCAGTCCGTAGTCCATTTGTACTGCTCCGGCATTCGCCTGGTGTCGATCGGAGAACCCACGAAAACTGCCGATCAGAGCAGCCGACCTCTGGAATTCTCCTCCAGACTGCGGCAGAAATCGACCTAGCTACGTGTGGAAAATCCTGCCACAGTCAGGACATCAGTTGATGCCCTGAGCCACCAAAACCGGCGATGTCATCTGGGGTTCAACGACGATCCCCAGCAAAGTTTTTTCTTCGGTCTTTGTTTAGGTAAACAGTTACTGTTCCATCTTTTAAGACTTTTATTATTACAACCGTTTTCTGAACACTAAGTGATTGTTTTCTTCTTTCAACGCTAATGGGTTGTTTAAAATCGAACCCGACACCATGCACAATCGTTTCGTGTTAACTCCTTGATTCTTTTACAGCTAGACTCAGGTGCCCCTAATATCGATTAAAACTTATTTTAGTATCTGGCAATGCTGAGAAGAGTTCGGATCGGAACAACATAACGAATCATTTAAACTTATCATTTAAAAAAGGGACATGACCGTTGTGTCCTTGCGGAAAAGAACGGCAAGTACAAAAATTGTTCAAAATATATATGCCCTTGTGGTACTTTTAAACCTCAAAATATTGAAAACAAACGTTTAGAAGAGTTTGTGTATATCACAAAACACATATATTATTCCAAATGTCGGAATGTCATTAGTCCACGGCAGTGAAGAAGAGGAATAACAAAGCGACCAATTGATTAAAATACTTCCAGTGAAACTTACAACAAACTTGATTACGTGCGTCGACTTGCGATGGAACAAGAGAGTAAAATACATCGGTTCAAATCGTGCACAACAACTTCCACTTGCACACGTCAGGTGATTACACCGCACATCTAAGGCTCCATGTGCGGCCGCGTACTGCGCCTTGCCGGCGTATGACATCGTCCGCGTCCCGTCACGCGTTGATCTAGTTGAAAGAAACGGATGCAGATAACATTTCATGAGGTGATGATTTCCTCCCTTGAGCTCCACAGCTTCAGTCAATGAAAGTTACCTCTCCTGGCCGCAGGAGCGCTGTGGGATGTTGTCGATTAACACTCGGAAGGAGAGAAGCTCCCCAAAAGATTTACGTTTGTTTGCGCGTCGCTCAATGTGGGTGTAATTAAAACTCGATCAAAGTAAATTTCCTTGTAGCTTGCATCTAAAACTATGATCGTTTTTCGCAAACTTCAAAGTAAATATATAATTTGGTATTACATTTAGATGAAGGACATACCTCGTGAGGAGTTTCCTCCTTTTCCACTTCTGAGAGGTGCCATTGCTATGTTTTTGACAGGAAGGTCACAGACAGTGAGATTGCTAAGAAGATGATATTATTTATTGGCATTGTCAATTAAAATACAAATATGAATGAAAACGTCTATGTATATTTCGAATTTTTCTATGGAGTTACCAGTTTAACACTGACTTAATTGTAAACGTAGTCATTTACTAAACTTTCATACCATTTGTGGGGAACGGTTTCCTATCCCGGAAGTCAACGAATACACTAGTTGTCTTTAGTTGCCTTTCGCACAATAAAAATCGATATAATAATTAGACACTACTTTCTGTTGTACTTTTGTCTCATTCGTTTCCAGAAAGCGTGTAAAAGCGTAATAAGACAAATATCAGCAGTTCGTTATGGATCATTCAAAATCTTATCAGTCAATCCAAGTCTATATCACTTGCTAATAAATTAAATCTCGTAAATCTAACACACGTTATCACAATAATTTGTTTTCCATAGAATACAAGAGATAAAAAATTGCTCAAGACTTGTAATTGTCATACAATTGCATATTAGTTTCGACACCATTATTCTCAAATATATTTGAGGTAAATTACATAACTATTTCAAATGGAACATAAAACAACCCACATTACATGCGTAGCATAAGAGAAAGATATACTCGTATTATTGATACGGTTGCCCGCATGTGGATAGCAATTCCGAGTCGAGGGCGCGAGCGGGGTGAAGAGGAAGAACCGTGCGAGAGGGACGAGGGGCCAAGGGTGCAGGGCGGAGGAGAACGTCGGTGGAGGAGAGGGACTGGTGGCAAAGGAAAGGCGCGATGGGCGATGGCGAGAGGTAGCGGCCAGGGGCGATGGCGAAAGGGCGATGGCGTGGGGCCGGGGGCGAGGGCGAGGGCGAGGGAAGGGAGTGGAGGTGTGGCGGGCCCTACCTTGTGGAAGATGACGAGCAGGTCGTCGAGGTGGCCGTGGAGGTCCCCGCAGACGGTCACGTGACGCGCGTGCGCCGTGGACGCCTCGTTGAGGTTGGGCAGCGTGCGCAGGTGCGCCGCCGCGTCGCGCAGCACCGACGCCACGTAGCGCGCGTGCAGACGCACCGGCTGCAACACACGCACACATGCACTCCTACACTCACCCCCTCGCATTCACTCATTGATTACTTTTACGGGTGCACTTCTAAGGTCATTAGTCGCGTGATTGTAGTGTAGGTTTTGTATCCGGCGGAGTGGCGGTGAACTTCTCCCTCTGGATGGCGGGACCCGAAGCCGACCCACCTATCGGTTTGCGAGGCATTTCTTCCTCCAAGTATCTCCCCCAGCCGGGCCCCTCTAAGCACCCAACCAGTCTCCCGGCATGGGTGGTAGTGTAGTACACGTGAGTGTTGATGTGCACGGTGAGTGTTGATATCGGGCAGGAAGAAGGAAAGGATGATCCGCGCGCGTCTTTTCGTTAGCGCTAGTGCTCGCATTCGCCTGGTCTTGACCGAGAACACCACGAAACTACGGGGTGAACAGCGCGCGCCGTTGAGCGGTGAGGGGCGGGGAGGGCGTACCTTCTTGCGGCGGAAGGAGTCGAGCAGGCGGTCGAGGTCGTCGCGGGTGAGCGGGGAGCCGAGGTGCGCGCCTTTGTAGCTGGGCTCCACGGGCGACTGCAGCTCCTCGGGGATGTCGGGCGGCTCCTCTGCAACACACACCAACGCCAGCCATCAACCATAAGAAATCGCCCAAGCGATCATTGTGGTCACCCACTAACTGGAGACAGGGAACACATTGTGTCTAAATTGAACAAGATTTTCATTGGATAAGGAAAGTAGTGGTGCTACAACAGCACAAACTTTGCCACAAAATTCCAAATTTTGCAATATCTAAAATTTCAGAAACTTCAACAAAAACGAGATCTGCACCCCAATTTTTAAGCGGTTCTTGAACTCTCCATGGAAACAATTTGAGGTCGTTTATGAAAAAATGTTTTTTTTATAAAGTACCTTAAATTTTAGAAGAAATTAATTAAAAATTTGATTTTAAAAAATGTACATGACCTTTTTTTGCAACACAGATATATTAGAGCAGATTTCATTTGAGACAAAAATCTCTATCTTACAATTCGTACTTTTGCAATGTTAACATTTTGCAAATTTTGAAAATACTTACTTCGATGGATATGGAACTTGGACCACTTCTTTACCATTTTTAATACATACAAAGAAAACATTACATAAATAAAATTGGAGCCTTTTTGAGAAAATAATGTTTCAAAAATTATCTTACTTTCACGCAGGTGAGCACTAAAACTACTCATGTTTTCTAAAAATTGTACATGATTCAAAGAGTTCACTTGGAAATAGGGTTCAGAGTTCAAAATTTGTCTTTAAAGAAGCTATTTTATTAACAAGAAAACTCTCTATTTTCAATATTGTAGTTGAAAAATGAAAAATTTGAGTTTGGACAATTTTCGAAAAATCAGGAATATTAACAAAAATGAGACCTGCATCACTCTTAAGCGCCCTTTACACTATGCGACAACAAAATTTAGACCCATTTTCGAAAAAATAATGAAAATGTCGATTCTTAAGTAAAGTAAACTCAATGTCAAGATACCCCGTTCAAATTCAACGGGCCTCGAGCTCATTTAATTCGATGGGGGAATATCAATTTTGAAAAACTATGGCCGAACGATTTAGGCACTAACTTTATCAGCACTACGAAGACATTTCCTCTTTACTCTGTGACTTTGAATGTCGAATCCAGACCTTATCCTCTTGTTGCTCAGAATGAATTTTAATGCGCCACATGACTGTCTCGAGCCAATCCCTTCATTTAATATCCGTTCAATTAATGATTTAGACACATATAGAAAGTTCTTTAACATAGAAAGTTCAAAGAGCAAGTCCATCACGTTTGGTAGGGGTCGAAGTTACAATGAATCTGTGTACAAACTGAACACTAATGTTATACCTCGACAGTAAACCTGACTGGGGAAGAATCAAGTCATTGTCGTTTGTAGGGAAAGCCTGGAAAGTCTTTACATTTTGTTATGCGGATAACTGACAAAGAGTACATGAGAGCCAAGAACTAGCATCATTCTTTAGTGCGACCTATATTAGAATATTGGGCGCGGTATGTTGGGAGCCCATAAACAGACTTTTGCAACAAGAGAAATCTAGAAAAAGTCCAGCATAGAGCATCAAAAATTTACTTTCAGGGGTACGCAAGAATAAAGGGTGTATGGGAGTCACTCGAAAGGAGAAGATTTAAAGTCACGTCTCAAATGCAATGTATAAACGTACCAGGACTTTCGAGGCGTGGAAAGAAATTCAAAGTTCCGAGTTAGGGAAATCTACATATTTCGGCAGGTGGATCACATGCACCAAAAATTCAGACAAAGAATTCAAGAGAAAGGGACGTTGGGAAATACTCGCGAATCGCACAATAGAGAGCTGAACAGTTTTTGCCGTGACAAATCTTCGATCCCTTTCCTCAAAGTCTGAGCAAAATTTAAAAATTAAATTAGTTCTTGATGTGGATATGTTATTAAATATATTTAAGAAATTCCGTGCAATTACTATGTCTTCTTGTAATTACAGTATTATTATTATTATTATTAGTTAATTGTTATTATTATTATTATTTTATATTATTATTATTATTATGTATATTATTAATTATTATGTGAAGGCAGTGACGTTGTGCAACTGTATCGCAGTGCGGTGAAGTGAGGTGAAGTGAAGTTTTGGAAAGTGGAGGTTCTATGAAAGATTGCACGGTTGAAATGTTCATGTGATTTTGATAACGTTTGTAGAGTTTGTATAGTGATATAAGTTCTGTAATGTTAAGTTAGGTATTCTGCCAACCAAGTTCTCACACTTAATTGCAGAATTATTATTAATAAATAACAAACAAAATTGTGTATATTTCTTGTTTTTTAAAATCCTTTACGAAAATCACGAAGTCCGACATATCGAAATCGAAATGGTTTTCGAAGGCAATTATCTCGCACGTCAGGCAGTCTACTTTCCTACGCGAAGCGCGCGAAGGCAGATGGCAGCACCACCGACGATGAATCGACTCAAGCGCGCACGCAATTGGTGCCACCGCATCACCCCTCGCTCGCCCTCCTGCTTTCGAGCGGCGGAGGGCGGGCGCATTTATCACAGCGTCGCGTCCGGCCGTCGGCTCTATTTTCCTTGACAACTCGGAATTAGCAGCAGGTGGGCGAGAAGGAGCTCGGCCGTTGCTGTGCGGTTCGTGTTTCATACTAAACTGGATCTGGGTCAATGCTCATGAGCAGGCGAATGAAAATGAACGAGATTCATGGAGAGGGGGGCCAGGATGGTAATCGTAATTCGCTGCCTCGAAGCGCTCTGTGAGATGGTGCGTTTGTAAGTCGAGAGAGTGTCGTGTTGGCCCTGAGTTGCAGCGCCGATCCACTGGCATTTTCCTCTTCAGGGGCCTGCTCGACGGGGCGCTCCCGCCGCTCGGGAACAAGTCTTAAGCCCCGATTGCATCCACGGTAGGTGGGTGCTGGTTCATGGAAGACCCGTGTGTGTTCAACAGGGGTAAGGCAAAAAAACTCACGCAAGGCTCTCGTCCGTTTCTTAGAGTAGTACCGGATGCCCTGGGAATTAACGATAGAAACGCATAGAAAATTACTGATCAGAAACAAGTCGGCTTTGTTACAACTTCCTTCCAGACCAATGCTTTCCACCCAGATATCTAACTGGTTGGAGCTGGTCGAAGCGGGACGGAGCGGGGACGGAGCGGGAGACGGGAGCGGGACGGGCGGCGGACGGAGCGCGGGACGGCGGGACGGCGGGGCGGGAGCGGGGGGACGGAGCGGAGAGACGGAGCGGGGACGGAGCGGGGACGGACGGAGGAGCGGGGACGGAGCGGGGACGGAGGGGACGGTAGCGACGGAGCGGGGACGGAGCGGGAGATCGGAGCTGGGGACGGAGCGGGGACGGAGCGGGACAGCGTGGGGCGCAGGCGGGACGGAGCGGGCACGGAGCGGGGAAGCGGAGCGCGGGACGGAGCGGGGACGCGAGCGGGGACGGAGCGGGTGACGGAGCGGGGACGGAGCGGGGCGAGCGGGAGCCGGAGACGGGCGGAGACGAGATTTTAGCAAACAGAACACTGCCTTTCCTTTTAAGCGTCTGCTTCGCTTTGGTCAGCCCTTCCGCGAGGAGCGCCTTGGTGCCTGAGACGAGACAGAAGGGTGGCGGAGGGGCAGCCCCCCCCATCCCCCGAAGCAAATTAGAGGAGCAATCGTTATTGATGGGACCAACGCGAATTCCAAGCTAGAAGGTGCGTTTCTTTAAGGGAAGTGAATTGCTCAAAACAAAATACTTTTTACCCGGCCTGCATCAACAACTCGGACCTTGCGAATCTGATTGAAAGGTTGGAAAATGTTTTCTAAATCATCTCGCGGAACTGGCCGTATAACTAAAATAATAAACGATTTTGCAGTTTAAACAATATAATAAGAACAAAAAATCTCCCTCCTCTAATTCCACCGTCGTTTCACCACCGTCAAAATAAAGTCATCTCCATGACCAATACCTCGAGTAATTTATCGCAGGTATGCAAAAAACGCAAGTGATTAAGGACGCTTAATAAAGATCTATAAAGCGTAGGCACGCACGTCTTGCCATGAACAGCCCTCGCAACTCATCCACCATCCCCAGGCCGGATGGAGCAACCTGCGGAACAGCACAAAACCTCCAGCACTTCCGCTGGATTGGAGAAATGGCCTGCCAGTGCGCCTCTCCCTGCTCCCGTCTGTCCCCTCCCTGCGAGCGCCCTCCGCTGCTGCGACGCTGCCGAGTTTTCCCTCCTCTTGACGAGATCTCTGAATGAGGGGCGGGTGGATTCCGCGGATGGCAGCCGGCCGGATTTCATCAACAGTTACAAGCCACAAACGCGGATGCCTGGCCAGACGTTTTGAGCATTCAACTTTTAGGCTGTTCCCGCCTTGACTGGCAATAATTTTAAAAGATATTTTCTTATTAGAAGAATATTTAGGATTTTGTTGTGAATGTTTTTATTACACATTTGAGTATGTATTAATGTGTTTCCCAACACAATATAAAATTAGTGGTGATGCAGAACATGCACTGAGTTTTCTTATTGGTAGTTACAAACTAAATGTCTTTAGTCTGGGCTGTCTTTTTCGATTTTTTCCCCGTCTCTCTCAGCTGCCATTTACTGGCACGCTAAAATACATTTTCGCCACACTTTTTAAGTATTTTGACACCCTAATATTCCTGCAGCAAACTTAGTTATTCCTCGGAGGGGGGCAGAATTCGACTTAGCTATAAGATTGTATATAGAATCCTTCCACCGTCCGGGCTCGTACGCTAGAATCTCCCAGTTGGAAGGATGCGGCAGAAACAGCAGTCAAAACTAGCTCGAGAATCACTCATTCGAAATAGACGGTGCCTGTCATGAGGCGTCTACAAACCGCGTCAGCCGCAGGAAAGCGAGGCGCGTGAAGCGGCGGTCGGCGGGGGGGGGAGGGTCCGTGGAGCTGTTTAAGGTGCAGGTCTGAAACCCCGGGACAGCAGAGGGCGGCGGCTCGCCAAAATCGATCCCTCCCCCATCCATCCCGCCTGGGGGGGGGGGCGCAATGAAGGGCGTTTCTTAAATTTCCTGCCCCCCCCCACACCGCTCTTCGTTAACCCTGCCCTCC